CAGCAACATTATGGCGGGGGACACCAGAAATGGGCTTCACACATTGTACCCATATGGGGATTCGAACCCGGGTCTTCGGCGTGACGAGCCAACGCTTTAACCACTAGGCTACCCCACCGCCCCTGTTACAAAAGAAGCTTAATGACATTTACAGGTGTGGCTAAACCCTAAGATGGTTTCAGGGGGTTACTAGAAATACCTGAAATCTTAATTATTTGGGGGCAACGTTTTAAAAATATACATGTCATGATCTGGGATAGACTGCAATATCAGTTGTTATACAGAATTGTAATTACTTCTAACCAAACACGGGTGGTGGGGTAGCCTAGTGGTTAAAGCATTCGCTCATCACACCGAAGACATGACATGTAAAACGTATTCAGTCCATTTCTGGTGTTCCCCGCTGTGATATTGCTGGAATATTGCCAAAAGCAGGGTAAAACCATACTCACTCACTCATTTGTCATGCAATGCAAAGGTGTTTGTTTGATAAAATGTTCTGCACGGATGACAGATGGCCTTGACACTGACAGAGAGCTATGGAGTCTAGCTACATGCCTCATTATCCAATATCTTAATGACTGTTAACAAGTTGTGGGTAATAAGTAGGTCAAACACACTGGAATGACAGCCAGGAGTGAATGTCACTATGGTAATAAGTGTACATTGAGGCTAATGGTACCAGTCTGTTACTAAACAGTAATAAATAGCAAAGAACTTCAATTGGAAATTAATTAATTTGATTCTCAAGTAGCGTTTCAGTTATATCAGAGTGTGACTGTTTAAGGCATTTAAAATATTCGGTATGGAACCGACACATTTAGAATCCAAATCAAGGCATTATGTCTGAGCTTCAAATGTGGTATCACAGAATTACAACAAAAGCACATTGCAATGCCATAGATAACTTCTGGGATGCATTTAGCTACATAAAACAAGCACCAGGGCAACCTACTGAGGAAACATGCCACCCAGCATTAATGTCTACAGCCACAAAGTATCTACACAAACAGGTCTTTGAACATTCAATACCTCTGTAGTTACTATACTGTTTCAATGCATAAACGCTGTGTCATGTATGATCTGCCCTGCATTCATCGTCTCAACATCAAACTGTGAATACTCCAAGATTACGTGCCAATGTTTTACAGTCATGAATCATTAATTCATGTCACACTGGCAGCTCTGTTTCACTGTCCATACATTCATGAGACCAGTGTGCAACCAAGTCGTTCAGTGCAACATGGCTTTAATGGGAAGGTGCAATTTAAATTGAGGTCCCTAAATCAAGCCTCTGCCTCTTCCAATAGTAAAATAGTAGTAGTAATACACAATGTATTAGTGAGTGCGTTAATATTTATCGTCACTTCGGCAATATTTCAGCCATATCGTAACAAGAACAATTAATTATTGAATTACAGAACAATAGAAGTAGAAATTAAAAGCCTGTTGACGAAGAACAGTATAACTACCAGTGTATCACAGATATTAAAGTAAAACTAGCATGTTATCATAAAACAATATTTTTAAAGAGAACAATTCAAAATGTAATAATGCAGGGATTTACAGGACGCGCATTCCTGTGTCCTCTACGCATAAAAATTGACAATGGACGCAACAAAATTTGTTAGTGCGTCCACAGGGAAAAAGTCCAAATACATTTTGGTAAAAATTCCAATCAAGTGACAAAAAGTTATCACTGAGTTTGCTACTAGCTCGGTTATAGCATTATTTGCAATTTAATTACTGTAACAATGTCATGATCATGACACACAATACAATAACAGTATTAATAATAATATTTAATTGTCTGGGACCCCATTTTGTTGTCCAAGACCCTGAAAATTACGAGTAAGTGTCCCAGGGACCGTCAAATACAAGACTCCATGTAAATCCCTGATAATGATACTATTGATAGTAATATACAAGGTTGTACACAAGAACTCCACATGTCAAGAGGCCACAGTTCATTGCTTAATGGGTAATAAGAGATCCAAAATATGTATCAATAAAGCAGTGTACATTCTCAATGTAAAGTATTAATTTTTATACATACACAATTTTATTATGACTCACCAATGAGCAGCTACAAAGTTTAAAGTCCTAAGAAGCTTCCCTCTTCTATATGCCGCCATATAGCTGGAATATTGCTGAGAGCGGCGTAAAACTAAACTCACTCACTCACTCTTATATTTTACATATATTATCCAGTGGTACAATGAAAAAAATCATACATACCCACTGTACAGTTAGACCTAACTTTCACAAAGGGTGACAAAATTCTTTTTATTATTCATTGCCAAAATTGTATTGTGTCCTGATACCTGACCAGACAATCCTGTGATTGACATGAATATTGATCAATGAAATGTAATTGGGATATGACGACATGCATCAACCATGTAAGCCAATCTGACCACCAGCTCCCCTTACAACATGCATGGGTTGCTGAAACTTAAGTAAAACCCAGATGTTCACAGGAAGGTTTGGTATATAAACAATTGAGGAAAATAACTGAAACTATTCCACAACCAGATTATGCAGATTCTCTGATATTTTTTTGCTGGCTAAAAATAGCATATCATTTAAAGTGCCCTTTAGTCCATATGTTTCTGCCTTAAAATATCCCATCTTCAGTCACTGAAATTTAGAAACAAATAATTCAGAGTTTGATTCTCCTGCAAAAAGAAAGAAAACCAACTTATGAAATAAAAGCACTGTGTCAGGATAAAAATAGTATTGCACGTCACAATATCATATCATCCCACCTCTATTCACCAAACTTACCCTAAATATCATCCAGACAATAAATACTGTTTCTATTTATTTTTAAAGAAAAATTTGGTTATGAATACACAAGTGGAAGCTGCGGTGGTTGAGTGGGTTAAGTGCCTGACTCTGAGAGTGTGTTTTCAAATCCGGGATGAGACTCAACCCAACGAAAGTACTAGAATCATACTTTACTGAGAAAGTGTAATCCCAAATATAACATGTTTAAAATTTGGTGGACACTTAGCAATTTTGTTTCAATTTTGTAGCTGCACTTTTTATGCATACTGTTACAGCAATATATGTTTTTTCTTATGTATTTTCAACTCATAGTCACATTGACATTTCTTTATTGACAGACTTTATGGATAACAATTTCTTCTATTTCATGAGTGCGACGTTTCAGTACAGGTTCTTGTACCGTTGTCAAGCAGTTCACAAGGTTTGTTCATATTGACCTTCCCAATTTCTAAATTACCACACAAAGTAGTTGACATTTCTACTTCCAAATATTAGTTTCATTTAGTTCCATCACAAATTTAGGCCAGAACAATTGGGAAAAATAAAGGAAAACAAAACTCAATATATGTTTCCATTGCTATTCTTTTCAAAGTGACCAAAAACAAGAATTAGTTTCCATGTATAATTGGAGAAAAATTGTATTGTGCAACTACCTGTATTCATGATTTTAATCTCAAAATTAGATATAGGACTGTAATACTAAGATATTACATGGAATTATTCTGAATCTTTCCAAGAACTTAAAAGCATACCAAGGAAACCTTATCCATCCCTACATGTTATTAGTTAACATTTCTCTCATTCAAATGGACATGTTAAATTGCAATATTCGTAGTTGTTTCTAACAGTCAAAGAAAGTTATTATTTGGGAAAATATGGGATTGTGTGCCTTTCCATTGACAGGGTTACAGGCATTTTCCCTTGTGACAACTTTAAATTAATAAAAAACTCATGCTGTCACTTCATCAGTCATGTTTCTTAATCTGAAGAATTGTATGTATGATGTCTATCGGTAGTTATAGAAATATTCATGACAAAAATGTGAATGTGAAGTAAAAGATGTTTTTAACAATTTTGAAGAGATCTAACTCAAATTTTATTACAAGTTTCAAAATCTAGTTTGTAAATGTTATGTTGAATTGTGCATTTGTCTAATCAAAATTCCTTTAGCATGATCAACACTGAAATATTCTACGGATGTTTACTCTCTAACCATGCTAACTGGTAGCAATGCTTTGGTTATACCAAAAGAAGCTTATTCACTTTTCAAGGCATGTAATATAACACTATATTCACTAAGGATTTTATCTGGATATAAAAAAATGGTTCTGAATCTTACTTACTAAACAAAGTGGTATCTATGTAACATAGATGTCAAGCAAGTATATTATAAGTATATAATGTCTGTTTGGGTAGTGGAATATCTGCTGGTATGATATACATATAATTCTACACAAGTCCATTAGTTGATTTTGGAACAGTGTATTTCTAATTAAAACGTTGTGTTTCCTGAACACTATCATTACAGTGTGCAGTATAACAATGTTCTAAGAAGTTCTACAAATAGTAATTCTGTAATATTTACCTTTAAGTTTGGGCATCATTTTGATGTCATAAATATTTTGTAGAACATTGTACACATATCATGTAAAAATAACCAAATAGATCAACTGTTATTTAACATACAATTTAAGTGTCTAAAATATTAATTAACATGCCAAAACTATTTTACAAGAACATATCCATTATTGTTGAAGTAATTAAATAAGGAAAATATCTCAACTTTCAAAACCAAGTACATTCAGTTATTTTGAACACAAACAAAATTGTTGCACATGAACGTTCATGTTTCAATGTAGAGAAATAGAATTTTTGTTGTTGTGTTAGTTGTCCGTCGGGGCATTAACGATACATCATAATTTGAGAAAACATTAAATGGCATTTTGTCAAGACAGTTTGAGAGAACTATTTATTTCTCGTCATGCATATCCACAGCTGAAAAGGTTGGGTAATTTCCACTGCAGTGTCAAATTGGCGTGCACATCTGGCGGTGATGCCGTTACACAGATGGAATCACAGAGTAAGGGATGGAATAGCGTATCCCGCTCCCGAAATAGACCCATACCGAGAGACGAACACGAACAGAGCCGCCATCTTGGATGCTCCGCTCACCGGAAACGGTCGCACTGTCAAAACATCATTGAACCTACCTGTCTGATAAAGCTGTTAGAACTATCCGAAAAACTGCCATCAGAACGTTTTCCTTTGCGTTTCGCTCCTTTGCCCTATAAACAACAACAAGATATGCCTGGAATGTCACTGGCTTCGTCCCATAATGAATTCGGATCATTTTGGTCTGTTTACCAAAATAGAATCCTTTACTTCCATAAGAAAATGTCAAATAGCCACAGAGAATGTGGGCCAAGCTTCTGCATCAAACGATTCTATAGCAAAATGGTTAAATATATACTATATTCCAAGAATAAGCCAATATTGTAGACAAATTATTTCAGGAATTTGGTTATCTGTCGGAGATATTAAAGAATCCTTTCGCATATATAGCACCAATGTTCTTAAGCATTATTCACTAGAATTTATAACGTGAACAACAGGTAATATGTATTTAGTGAAAATAATGCGAAGAAGAAACATTTGACAGGAAAGATAATGACAACATACTTGCGACACCGGTGGCATTTTAGAGTCTACAAGATCTCGGAATTTCGTGGAAGCAAACGCCATGACACCATCATCCTTGCGTTAGAGAGATATAGTCTGTTGCCGCACGCCATAGGCGCGCAATCGGTGAGATAGGGGAGCTTAGGTCACCCTCATCTCGTGTTGAAATAAGTATCCGAGCCAAAAATAACGCCAATATTAAAAGTACGCCTCTCAGATTCTCTTCAAATAGAGCCAGGCACCAGCGGCTAACTGTAGCAGAAGGTTTAGATGTTGACTTCCCTCCGAGGCTGGGACGGGATAAACAGCATCACTGTGAATGCATCTATGTCATACCACCACTATCCACTCATTGTGAACGCAGATATTGTGCTTTTATTTCATACAAAGACATCTGATTTGTTTTCAATACAATAGACACTTTCCCGTATAAATCAAACGGTATTCAGGAATATCGGATTTGACTTATTATACCCCCTTCGGAGAACAAATGGCGTAAACGCAAATGGCGACAGAAGGCATTTGTTACGCGTTATTTCATTGGTCGCGTAAATGTCATCACCTGCTAAAGCATGCATTGGCATCTTTACAGAGCAAAACATATGGTAAAGCTGGCACCGACTCTAAAATGCGGGATCGTGCCTGTCATTTACCACAAGACACTGATCCAGTCACAAGACTGTAATAAACAAACTGATGTGGGCTCGAGGTACCGTTAATCCTCGATATAACGCAAATAGTGGATAAAATGTTTCCTGAACTTACAAACTTAGCGAAAGTACACATTACAGTTAAAATTTATAATCACACATAAAAGTCACAAAAACGTAAAATCAATTATGTGTTAAGCACATGTATACACAAGCCTATATACACAATCGTTTTTCCAAAGCTGTCGCGAGAATGACAATTAACATGTCACGTGACAAGACAGGCACGCGTCATCCACGGTCCACTGGTCAGCCTATTGCGGAGTTGCATAATTATTATTCCAGGATGGAGAATTATCAGTGCGTGGCAATTAGGGTTGAGTTCACTGTTTGGAACAAATCACCAGAAAAGCCATATGGCACTCGTCTGGCTCCTTAGACGAATATATAAATCGCCCTGGTCAGATATACGTTTACCGTGGGATATGACGACAGCAATTTGTATGGCATTGGTATAAGTATGAACAAATGAACAAATAGCACTTTCTTATGACCAGAGCGTTTCGAACGATCACATATGCATGTATGTATGTATGTATGTATGTATGTATGTATGTATGTATGTATGTATCTCTCTCTCTCTCTCTCTCTCTCTCTCTCTCTCTCTCTCGCTTCTTGTGTAGCTGTGTACCTAAAATGTTTAGAGGCATAACTAATAATTGCGATATGCAGAATTCTGAATGATAAATGAAATCGCTTAACACTGTTGATTTACATTTGCTCGGCATGTTGATGCTTGATATTGTTTATTTCTTGTTGCTTTATCTCTTTGTATAATGTATTCATACATATATATGCAGGGGAAATACTAATCGTCACAAGGGTGTACACATAACTGTACAGGTAAGATTTTGCTACTGCAGGTAACTCTTATTTTCAGGCTGCTCGTAAATGTGCAGGTAAAATTTTCCTCCAAATTTGCATGGTGGCAGCTTTTTGGTATATATTTCCCATATCAAAGTCTTCTATCGTGAGCATCAGTTGAATCAGTTACGGGAAACAAACATGTAAACAAGTCTGCTTTCATTCTAAAAAGTCAGTTGTCTGGACCACACAATTTGTGCATACAATTTTGTGGCATTTCATGCAAGGTCAGAGGTCACTGTGCAATACGTCACTAGTAATGGTTGACAAGTTTATTTTGCCAAGCAGAAATAAAATTAAACTTATGAATGAAAATGTCAGTTAAATAGCAACCATCGATCAAACCATCTTTCACAATAATGTGAACTTTTCTGGAGATACTGAAATCGCCCATGAATATTCTTCTCACTCTGCTGATGACGACCTGTCTGTTGTCAGTGACAGCGATAGCATTGTTGACAACGTGGAGCAGCCAGCACTTTGATGGTTCAGCCCGATTAATTCACTTGGTTGTATTTGGTGCAGGTAGTGAGAAAACAAATCATTCTCCGGCTGGTCACTAATTGTACAGATACAAGAAACGTCACCAATAATCAGAGTGAAAGGACACCAGTCACCAGCCATTTAGGTTACACGTACAAAAAGAGTTCACTAATCATCAGGGTACATACATACAATGAAGGTCAACAAACACCTTAACAGAAAGATCATCAATCATCTTAAAGGAAAAGTAACCAATCATATTAAAGGAAAGGTCGCCAATCACCATACAACAAAGGTCACCAATAGTCCGGGTGTACACATACATGAAATGTCACCAATCATCGGGATTTAGACTTAGATACACAAGGCAAGTCACCAGTCATCAATCATCAGTGTGTATACATACATAAAGGTCAATGATGATCACCAATCACCAGGATGTACTCATACAAGAAAGTCAACCGTGGCATGTAACATTCGCAATAAATGGAAATAGGAGGGTCGGAGATAATGAAAATAACGTTTTCAAAAACAACCAGCATGGCTAAATTATAACTGATATGTGAGATTTCCAAAATCACAAGTGCATGCATTAACCTTAAGCAGAAACTGACCTAGCGACAGCGACTATAACAATACATGGACATACTAATGTTTCTGGGTTCTCAACTTGACATTTCGCCCTGAGCTTTCCCTGTGCGTCAACAAAAAATAATGAAAACACCATTCATCAGCCATCACTCCTCACTGCATGGTGACGTCCTTCTTTCTTTCTCATATCAATTTATTTCCTATCTAGGGTGGTTTTAACAAAACAAATGGAACAAAACAAACGGTTGTATATACTTCAATGTGCTTGATATACTCTAATAATAAGGAAATTCCAATTTATTACCGCATGTATCGTTCGATCCTTTCGGAACACCTTCCAAATACGCCGCCATTTCTTCATGTCAGTAATCTCCTCACAGGGTATGGGAAATGACAACAACACCCGTATGAACGTATTTGTAATGTGTCACAAATCACACGGGCTCTCGACAGTGCCTTTACTTACATTAAGGACAAAAAAAAAGAGATAGTGACGGAAAATTCGGATCTTTTATGGGCTCTCCCATTGAGTTTTCAGACAAATGGCTCCGCATTATTTGAAGAGCATTATGCATTATAATGCTTTATTATCCTGTCGTTGATTCGTTCACTGAACAATATTTTGAGATTCTGATATATGTATAATACAGAGTCCTAACTATTAACAGGGACATCGCTGGGATTTCACTTATCTACTGTCCTTCACTTGACATTTACTCGCACCCGGTGCAACAACCTTAGGTAATAGCCTTGTTGCACCTGGCAAAACAGGTTGCACATTCTGTTGATATACAATATACATGATGCTCGAGTTGGGCTATTGGTGATTCGGAACATCATTATAACACAATTATTCTGGGTCGGATAAGATCTTCATACTATATCATGACATTCAATCAGTATCCCTGTAGTCATCAGAATCACTGCATCGAGCCAGTTCTTCTTCATTCGAGATCTGACCCGCGAAGATCAGGGATGGAATTAATCTTCAGTAACCCATGCTAGCTTGTAGCAAGTGAGTGAGTGAGTATGGTTTTACGCCGCTTTTAGCAATATTCCAGCAATATCACGGCGGGGACACCAGAAATGGGCTTCATGTAGCAAGACTAACGGGATCGGATGGTCAGGCTCGATGACTTGGTTGACGCACGTCATCGTATTCCAATTGCGTAGATCGATGCTCATGATGTTGATCACTGGATTGTCTGGTCCAGATTCCATTATTTACAGATAGCCGCCATATAGCTGGAATATTGCTGAGTGCGGCGTTAAATAACAACCAACCACAGTTGATAAAATGTAATTTTCTTGCTCAAACCTACAGACGAAACATCATACCGATTTCCGAGATGAAAGGAATATCATTTTCATTTCTGTAAAATTTACGTTCTTGCCATAAATTGATTTCGCCGATCGCATGTTCCTACAGCACTTACATTTATATTGATATGTTAATTTTGGTCAGGGATGACCTAACTTGAGAATGATTAGCACATGAAGTTCCAAGTTCGATCCGAGGTTACGTGATCGGTACTCAAATATGGTTTCCACCAGGCAGCATCATGGACAAAAGGTTATTCATGGCAATTGTACATTTTGTTTAAAATATAATGAATAGATTATAGTTGCGTAAAACATACATGCTGTGTTCCCAGCATTTGACTGTAATAAGAATGTGACAGTTACACTTCAATCACACTGAAAGATTAAACTTCTCATGTTGACTACTCATTGTTAACAATGTAACGACATTACGTACATTGGTTGTCAGCAGTGGAACTCAGCTTAATTTTACCATAGTTTCAGCTTCCCTCTTCGAAATGTTTTACGGACTAACATCACGTTTTCTTCCAAACCGTAATGGCATATTGGTGTTTATGCCTAGCTTTAGTGTGACGCTCAACACATTTATTTTTGCATTTTTATAAAACTTTGATTAATTTTATTTGAGCTATTCATTTTGAACATGCTACTAAATTCTCTCAAATGCATTGTCTCGTACTGTTAACATCATCCCTTAGAAACCGCTTGACCAAAGAAACTGTAACTATACATGCTTCTTCCCATCAATGACAACAGTCTGAATGTGTTAAGAGGCCCGAACCCCATTTCAATATGGCCGCCACAGAAGCCATATTGAAAACACAATCTATTTATGTCTTCATCATAATAAAGAAGTTGCTATCGATAAAAACTCTCTTCGGTGTGTGTGTCATTTCTATGTGTCATTCAAAGACCTATTTATGACCGTTTCTCTGCCGTTTTAATACAAAATGTAATGATTTTTTGGGGTTACTTGTGGGTTTCAAACTATATTAATTGTTTTAATATTCTAAACTTTTACTTTGTTTTCACCATGTTTTATTTCAAGCAAACTCATTACAATGACAAGGGGGAAACTTGCTTTTAGAAACCAGTCCCAAACATTAGACTGTAAACATAAAAGGACTTGTTCCAACATCTTTTTCTATACAGTAACACATTTCAGGTTATTCACTCTTATTCCGAGCATCCACGCAACACTGTATTCATATTCACGGGGACACAAGGCTGGAGTTTCTGATTTTGAACCCACACTATCAAGACGTATAATGTCTTGCAAATGAATGACCATCTCCCGGAGAGGGGCTACATCTGCATGTGGACAATCGATGGGAAGCTACAAATTAATACTACCGCCCTAAGCCTTTAGTTCTTTATATTTACATCACGACGGTGTACGCAATGTCTTCATGCATACAATGCATTTCCGCTGAGTTGGCGTCTTGTTCAGCTGTTTCATGTCTTTCAATAGTCATCTCAGATCATGAAATACAAATCCGATCGACTCTATATTAATCCATACACTGCTTAATAAAGATTCACCCTTTGAGGCATCCCCCGAGAACATCTTCTGGGTGCATGTGTTGATAGTGAATGTATTCTTGCATTCACAGAACAGTGACTTTTTTCATTTGAATCAAACTTGGATCATGATTTTACACTCCCAAATTATTACTGTTTTCTATAACCGGGCTATGCGCAATTTGATCTTTTCACCAAAAGTGTGTGGGAGAGAGTTTAGTTTTACGCCGGTTTTAGCAATATTATAGCAATATCAGCAGGGGGACACCTGAAATGGGCTTCATACATTGTACCCACGTGGGGAATCGGATCTTCGGCACGACGAGCGAACGATTTAACCGCCCCTTTTAC